GAGCTGAGTGTAGGACCCGATGGCCACACACTCGCCGTCGTTGAGCACAAGTATTTGATGCGCGTCTTTGAGAAACTATATTTAAAGGGTCACTTAAATTGTTACCTTGTCCTTTAGATACTCAACACAACAATAAATGAATGGTAAAGATATTCAAAAATTTTCTTTATTTTTTCCTACACGTTATACTTCTGGAAGAGATGTTTGGCCACATTTGTGTCGACAGCACTCAAAGGGTCGTCCAAAAGATAGATGTCTGCCGAGTGATACAGCGCCCGGGCCAGACTTATGCGGGTCTTTTGGCCCCCAGTTAACGACACGCCTCTTTCGCCGACTAGAGTTCGGTCGCCGTATGGGAAGAGTTTAAAATCTGTGTCCAAAGCGCACGCCTTCACCACTCGATTGTATTTCTCTTCATTATATTGAGAGCCAAACAGAATATTCTGTCGAACACTCGCTATGAAAGCCCACGACTCCTGCGGCGCGTACGACACCCGANAGCCAACAGAATATTCTGTCGAACACTCGCTATGAAAGCCCACGACTCCTGCGGCGCGTACGACACCCGACCCCTCACTACCACTCGACCCGACACAACACATATCTCATTCAATACTGACATCAAGAGTGAGCTCTAATTTCGGATAATAATAATTATTATTATTTATAATATTAATTGCAATTAATGTATGCAAAACCCATACCTTTCCGCTGCCAACCGATCCGAAGACAGCCAATAGTTGTCCGGGTTTTACACTCAGATTAATGTCCCGAAGCGTGGGTTCAGTCATATCATAATGAATATTGAGAGGAATGAGTTGATTTAAAACACAACTAAAAATACTAAACTAATATTGAAATACAGTAAACAATTGTATACATTATTCCAACAAACGCTCAAATTATCCATAAAAATGCCTTTTTTATCACTAAAGTTGTTATCCATTGGGCGAAGAATTATTTTATTTTCACCCGAAATGAACGCCTCGTTGTCTTTCCCTTCCCTCTCATCCAAACCACTCATCTCTTCGAGTAATAGAAAATTCTATGAAATTAAATAATTATTGATTTTAAACAAAATTAAAAATTATCATATCAATTGATTACCGATAAATTACCATAATTACAACACGATTACCTGGATACGTTTGATAACTATAATGAGCTCGTTGAGTGCGGCTATAGCTAGGGGTGCGTTTATCCGTATTCCCCAACGCAAGGCATTAAAGTAAGCAATTGTGGCGAACGCCGTCTCCGCCGACAACTTCTCGCCCATCAGTATATATGTTAGAAAACAGGCGTATATTATAACCCGTATTAAAACAAAATACAGCAAAAGGTTAACGCATTTCAAAAAACTTGATAAACGGATTTGTTTCACTTCGGACCTTAAATTAAATGTATTAAATGTATATATTATTTGTTTAATATTGACAAACTACATGTTTATAAATAAATGTTTGTTACATTACTTGCGAGCGATTGCCACCAACTGTGCGAAGGGCTGTTCCCAGGCGTACATCTTTATGACACGCATTCCGGCGATAATCTCTTGCATTAAACGGATTCGACTGTCGGTTAATTCGGCCGTCTTTTGACGTATACTNATAATCTCTTGCATTAAACGGATTCGACTGTCGGTTAATTCGGCCGTCTTTTGACGTATACTCTGAAACATACGACCCATTAGTACTTGAAATGGTATAAACAGCACAAGCATTCCCATTCCCGTCAGACACGCCCACCGCAAGTGTGACCACAACAGGTATAACACAATCGCCGCCTGCAGTGATTCATCAAATCTGATATCACTCTCGCATACATTTTCACTAAAAAAGATATTTATGTAAATAAATAGTAAATGTCTGTTACTAACAATACAATACAATAACAAACAATACAATTGTAAAATGTTTTAATCATATAATTTAAGCTAACAATTAAAATAGTATCGCGCGATGAAACACACATTACGGGCGCGCGTTATACACAATAACGAATGTATTTTCCGGTCATTCAAATCAAACATTTGATTTTTTGTCAGTTTTGGATTGAATTAATATTTTGATTATAATTATCAAATGCGATGAGATATCCAAAGGAAGTAATACAATATGTCTTATGGCATTGCCATCAATGCAAAACCTGTGTCGAGCCATCACTAATGAACAAACGTTCAGACTTTCCAAAAGTGGTTGCAAACAAATTGCGAGAAGACCTCAAACCGAATGAATTCACTGTAATTATAATTTAATGTAAACTCAACTGTGATTTAAATATAAATGTAATTATTTACAGGTCGGAAACGATTACGATAAGTGGGCGTTTCATGTGTTTAGTCGTCACTTTAAAAAAGATGAGTTCAAGGATTACTGGTTTCTTCTGAATACGACATCACAACCGATGCCTATTATCGTTGGACTGAATGCCGGCACCCCTTCTGACGCCCCAATTGCCAGCACTTCAGCGCCGGTCGCAGAGCCCGACCAACACATGATTCCATTTAATGCACCGATTGTAGCGCCGGAAGACACGGCTCATAGCCTCGGCTCTCACTCTCAAAGGCAATCATTTGGCGGCGATTGTGGACTCGATTTGAGCGATAATAGCGACCAAAATACAGTGCTTTATACTGTAATCGATGGTAACTCACATCAACACACTGTTACCGACTTGTCGTCACTCTTTGAGCCCGACATTGACATGTGTTCGAGTGCTTTGTTTCCATCGAAACAGCGGACTTTAATGAGACAATTAGTGGTCGAGACATCAGTGTTTGACAGAGCGCTACCAATAAACTATCGTTCACTCAATACACTGAAGACAATAAAGTTGATGCCTTCGTTGTCCGCCAACTGTTTTGACACAACCGAACGCAATGATGACGGCATCGATAACGTGCCCACAGGTGTGACCATCGCTTCCCACCACTCGATGCGAACGATCGCCAGAACAGACACTTTCGGCGCCGGGAATAGTGTACTAAATATGACCGCAAATCAGAAAATAATACGTGAATTCTCGTCAATTAACCAATTGAGACAACGTGTGGACACGTGTTTAGCGCAATCATTGCTTTCGATGTCAATAATTGTCAGCAATAGTCAACAGATCTTGACAGCCAAGCAAAAAGTCTTACTGCTCTCCAAACCCAACGAAGAGATCCTATTTGACGATTTTGACCGCAAATTAAACACACAATTATTATCCACTTGTGTTAAGATCGCTGAGGGATCGTCTGGAGAGGTATTTGCGGCCAAAGACACGTCTGGCAAACGAATAGTTTTTAAAGTTATTGCACTGAATGGCAATGAAGACGACGATACGGACGAGTCGTACGCGCAAGTGTTGCCCGAATTAGTCGTTTCCACTGAATTGAATCGTATGAAAAGAGGAATCAATGGCAACAAAACACCAAACTTTGTAGAAATGCTGAGCATTACGACAACTCGTGGGTCGTATCCCAAAACATTGTGTACGGCGTGGAAGAGATACCACAGTAAGAATCGTTCCCATAATGAAGATCCGACCGAATACAGTGACGACAAGCGTTATGTTGTGTTACAATTGAGTCCCGGCGGTGAAGGCCTAAACACCAGACGATTCAAGTCAGCGCTCGAAACGTTGAGTATTTTCGGTCAATTGGCGCTAACACTGGCGGCGGCGGAGACGGCCTACGAGTTCGAGCACAGAGACATGCATTGGGGCAATGTTTTGGTGTCGGCCACTAAACAGACGCGACTCGACTATAGTGTTAACGGACGCCTCTATTCATTGCCATCTCATGGAGTGTTTGCAACAATAATTGATTATACGTTTAGTCGCATCTCGACCGACGGGTTAGTGTTCTTTGACGACTGGACACAAGTGAATGACATTTTTGATGATCGCGGAGAGAACCAGTACTGGGTGTACCGACGTATGCGAGCAAATAATAACAACGATTGGCTTTCATTCAAAGCGGAGACAAACCTATTTTGGTTACAATATTTATTGTTTCAAATGAAAGACAAATCGTACGGACGAAACACTCCCGAAACACACGGCGCGGCTCAACGCGAATTGGATGAGATGTTTGGCGATCTCTATCTCTATGCGTCCGCAACTGAATACGTTATGAGCCCTGATTTCCAGCGATTAATTGGTTTGCTTTAAATGAATTTCAATTCATTTCATTTATTCTCTTTTAATTTTCTTTTTTTATACATTTTTTCAGAAATTAATTGTATTTTTACACACATTTTATTCATGACTTTTATATTTCAAAACAAGTCATTTATTCAACTATTTTATACTATTTTATAACTTTACAATTTACTGTGACAATAAATTTGATTAAAATATGCTTATAATTTAACTTTTATTGAATTCTATTGAATACAGATAATAAGCGATAAATGTTATGACTTTTACGGAAATGATTCACAAGTATTTCATGTGTTGTCTAACCGTATGTTTGTATCAAATCAGCGAAATATGCAAAATATATTTCTTATACAATACCACAACAACTGTTAATTACGATAACTTTAAGACCATATCATTGCCGGCAAACACTATATGTTTTGACAAAATCGATGTCTTAAAAGAGCAATACATAAATCAATTGAATATTTTGAATAAGTCTATAAATAAAGAGGAATCCATAAAAAAGTCATTTTGGCAGTTGTTTAATAGCAAAACCAAAATCTATAAAATCAGACAATAATAGCGATCCGACATTAAATAATATTTACGTTAATTGCAAGCAATTAAATAGTTTCAAACAATCGCTATATTATAATCGGTAAGTAATTTAAACCAAAAGTATTTTTTAGTTAATAATAAAATGATTTATAAACATTGTTTGTATACCATGTAAAATTGCCATTTTTCATAAACATATATAACTCGTTTGTTAATTATTAAGCTCAGTAAAAAATGCTTTTTAATGCTTTATTCACAGAAAAACATAACTTTAGATACGAGTAATGTTTGATTCATTGAATGATTCAATGCTTTATTAAACACAACTTTAATATTTCTAATAAAATTATTTATTTTTTTGTGAAGAAAGCATTAAAAATCATTTTTTTACTGAGCATATTAATTATTTGCATTTGTTTAAAAAATAATTTAATCATAAATATCATGGGCAATAACCCATTTGTTTGGATACCACTTGGTATAAATGGGTTTGAATTGAAACACATGTGGCTGACCCGTATGGCGGTCATCAGCGCCGGCACCGCTCGTACACCAGCGGAACGGCGGCTGTTGACGATGTGTGGGCCCACTCACGGCCAACATCTCTATCTTAGCGGCCATATCTATATCGGTCAGTTTGGCGTCAATAGCCCCGGAAATAACGAGATGAAAAATCTTTGGGTAGGACCGGTGGGTGAGTTCAAATCGTACCTGGCCGCTATGGCCAACTGGCCAGCGTACCCTGGTTGACACTCTTGATGATACTGGTGACATTGCGATAAAAAATCATGCTGAAAGTCGTTGGAGCGCATCAGCGAATAGAGCGCGTTCAAATCGGTTACGGAATTATGATCTCGGTGAAATATAAGTGCCCGTGCAGTCTCGTTGTAGCTGAAAAACGTATCCATTGTTGAACCAAATCTCCAGTTCCGCTAATGTTATATATATTTGGAAAATACGGTACGTTATACGAACCCCAATAGGTGGTATCGCGGAGCACCTTGGTCATATCAGCCGCGGTCATAGTGCCCGGCATTTGTTCGCACACCCAGAGTGAATTATCTGTCAGCGAATGAACTGGCGTGCCCTTGGTGAAGAGTTTATAATCAACAATCATGAACTGGTTATTATATGTCACGCTATTATAGCGTCCAAATATGTCCGACCACTGGCCGCCTCCAGTGGCCAACCGATTGGCCACAACATTGCGGGCAAACTCTAACACGACTTGATTGGGTCGTACAGTAGAGTACAGGGATTTGTTATAATTATTATTAGTCGTCTCCTGGACTACGCGTCCAGAGGACAGGACGTAGTAGTCGTCGCCCGAGAAGATTAACCCCGGATAGGAGGACATGGCAACTGAATGACCCGGTATTAAAGCACCTGTAGCTAGACTTTTGAATGCAAAGCTATATTGTTTGTGCACCCGGAGCATCATGTCGTACATGATCCATGAGTTGTGCGCCACATATAGATCGCTGCCTTCGGGCAACACTTTGACCATGGCCGAACAATGGTCTTGGTACTCGATCGTGGTTGAGTTGGGTGTGAGTATTGCCTCGAGATCATAGCTTTCAAACATTATGTTCAACCACCAGACTTCGCTCATTACATCCATTTCCACAGTGTTGGTGACGTTATTATCCGCTTTCCAGTCCGCATACCCAACCCCTAAGCCCCGCAACTGGTCGTAAACGAGCCCTAATTGGTGCCAATAGTCGTCGTTTGCGTGACTTTCAATCATAGTATCGATGAAAGCGGTGTTCGTCTCGTAAAAAGTCTTGAGCGCATCGCAAAACTGTTTACGTTTAGCGCAAAACCCGTCGATTGTGTTGAGATTATGCATATGAATGAGTCCACCCGTTATGTAACCCTCAAGTTTGCCCGCCATATATGCCTAAAGACTATCGTTTGCGTTTGTATTGTACGATTTTATCTCCAAATTGGCCCATCTAGATTATTTGTGTATAATTATTAGAGATGATAATTATGTGAATTAATGTAATTAAATCAATTTATAATTACCCAGTTACGTTGACATTGTTTTCATATATAAGTGTTGCCACCGTTTTATCGGGCAGATCTTCAATCGTACGATTGGGTGTTTCACGAGAATTTATTCTACCATTGTTTACAATGTAATGGTATTGAAATGCATTACAATGTAGTGCACATAAAATCACGGTAATTACAAAAATTATTAGGTCCATGTTTAATAATAAATTCAATTAATACTATTAAAATTGTATTGCAAAATTAATTAAGATGCTTTTATTTGTCTAATGTTTAGTATTTATACAATAATTTATCTAGAGAACCTTGAGATAATCTTGAGAACCATCACCTGTATGCTTTTGTCATTAAGACATTGAATTATGAGTCATAATAAATGACAAATTGTATTGAAAATTAAGTCCAATCGGGAACTCATTGATTAATTTTTTTAAAGTATGGTACATACAGTAGATTATTTTTTTTAGGTATTGTACATAAACTCTATATAGAGTATTTAATTACAACTTACTTGATGAAATAGAGTACATTAAAATTATCTAAACAAATAATTATCATAAATACTCAAAGTGTTAGTAATAATAAATAATGTGTTAATTATAATGAATAAAAGTGTTATTAAAATACAAG